CACCTGGGGACAAAGGCCTCTTGGGACAGGCTGCAGGAGCAGGCAGGCAGCCATCCCCAGCTGCCCAGCTGAGTGACATCAGCTTCAGAAAATTGGGTATGCACACAACAGTACCCCAGGCTTATGCTCCAGAAGTGACTTTGGATGATTTCATCCATTGCTACTTAAGGAAAGAGGGGATGGTTTCCCTGAGCTCTGGGGAAAAATATGCTCAGCAGCCAGGCCTTGTTAAGAGTTCTGGATGAATGTAATACTGATCTCAACTGTAGCTGAAGTCATCGACTAGGACAATGGTCATTGTGCCCTCAAGAATCAGGCCATGTGTTACCTCTAGGTAAAAACTATTTTTAAGGTACTTCATAAATCAGTGCCGAGGTCAGCCACACTGAGCGTTCCAAATCGTTCAGGGGAAGTCTCTGTGGGTGTGCCCCCAGCTCTCGGCTGCAGCCGTCCATTGTTCGATGGTTTCCTGCACCGGCCATCCCCGCCAGCCAGTCTGCAGCGTCTGCAGAGGCCGGCCAGGAGGACCTCCCAGCTGGCCACCACCCTGCCACACAGGTGTGGAGGGCGCCAGTCTGGCCCGCCACGGGCAGCGCTGCCGTCTCTAGGACTCCACCTTGCAGGCTGTGGTCTCCCAAGCCCCGCACTGGACCACTGCCACTCCTGCGGTGAGCCTGCAGAACCGACAGGGTTTTGCATCCTGCTTCTCACAGCACCTGTGCTGGGCCGCCAGGCGGGGACAGAGGTTATTCCTCCTCAGCCAGGCCACTCTGGCTGCCCTGCCTCAGTCACTAAGCTGTGTGTTCAGCCTGGGCATACTGCTTTTATGCGTGTTTAAGTGAACACATGTGAGTCGTGAACTGTGAGTGGATGAACTCCCTATTGTTGCAGATACAGAGAATAAGAATCGGGAAATCCGCCCAAGGCATCTTCCTTTTCTACACATGCTGGTGGCCAAGGAGACAGAAATTCTGAGTGGAAAGCAGACTGAGGGAGGCTGAAAGTGCCAGGAGCCTTCCTCGCTATGCTGTCCTTCCTCTCTCTGAGGTGAGAATGCAGGTGGGATGGCAGGAGCTCCAGCAGCTATCACAAGACAATGAAGATGGAATTCTCATGCTAAAGGGTGGAAAATGCAAAAAGAGAAGCAGTCTCTCCACAGTGTCTTTGTCCACCATGTCATCCCAGAGCGTACATCTCTATAGTATCTGTGTCCACCATGTTGTCCCAGAGCGTACATCTCCACAGTATCTGTGTCCACCATGTCATCCCAGAGCGTACATCTCTATAGTATCTATGTCCACCATGTTGTCCCAGAGTGCACATCTTATTTTTTCTGTGATAAGCTGGAGGGGTGGCATTTCTATCTGATTCCAACCACTGTTGTCTGCTCTCTATTACTAGAAGCATTTTTTCCATTTAACTGGGAATAACTCCAGCTTGCCTTGCTCACCTTGCTTGCCCTCATCTCCCCTTCTGACACTGAGGAGACACCAGCCTCAGGCCCGCGCCTTCCTCAGATCCACAGCCTAAAGTGACATGACAGCTCAGACCCCTTTCCAGAGCTCCACGCCCATTTCCCTTCTCCAGCAGGGAACCTGAAGCCTCGTCTTTTCTGGGCCTGCTTTCCTCAGTTTCCCATTTAGAACATGGTGCTACTGTTGCTAGGGCCTCAGGACTTCAAGTCTTTGCCACCCTCCTTCCCTCCAGGCACCGGCAAGTTCTCTCTCTGTCTGAGCATGGCCCCTCAGCCTCTCACACTCCTCCACCAGGCTTTTTCTTTTAGCCTCCCAAATCATGACACAAAGACTTAACTGGTTCTGAATGCTGGGCCTTAGCTTAGCTCTTTTCTGGCTAGCTCTTTTAACTTGAATTAACCTGTTTCTCTTTGTCTACCTTTTGCCTCGGGTCTTATTACCTCCCTTGCTTCTGTAGATCTTACTTTCACTGCTTCTTATGTCTGGCTGGCTGACAGCTGCCTGGCTTCTGGGCCCTGGCATGTCCCTCATTCTCTCCTCTTCCTTCTCCTGTTCTTCTCCCCTCTTCTTCTCTTTAGCCTATATTTCTCCTCCTATTTATTCTCTCTGCCTGGCAACCCCACCTATCCCTCTCCTGTCTAGCTATTGGCCATTCGGCTTTTTATTAGACCAATCAGGTGTCTTAGGCAGGCAAGGTGAAACAAACACAGCACATCTTTACATAGTTAAACAAACGCAGCACATCTTTACATAGTTAAACAAACGCAGCACATCTTTACATACTAAACAAATGCGGCACAAACAAAAGTAACCCACCTTTACACAGTTAAATATTCTGCAGCATAAGCAGATGTAACACATCTTTGCCCAGTTAAAATAATATTCCACAACACATTCCAAACAATGGAGTCACTCCTGTGCCTACACACAGCTCAGGTGGTCTCTGCTCTAACGCTCCAGCCATGTGTGACTGAAAAGGAAATCCAGATGTCTCACTTGTGGTGCGCAACGCTGTCTTGTCTGCCTTTGCCCAACTTCCCGCCCAGGTGACTGTCCTGTGACAGTGACCACCTCACATGATGACTACCTCTCCACAGTGACCACCTCCCCACAGTGACCACCTCTCCACAGTGACCACCTCCCCACAGTGACCACCTCTCCACGGTGACCACCTCTCCACTGTGATCAACTCTCCACAGTGACAGCCTCATCACTGTGACCACCTCTCTTGCTCACAGACATACTAGCCTCAGGCCCTGCCCAGTCTCTATTCCATGAATGCTTCTCTAACATTATCACCTGCCAGACCCTTCAACTCCCCAGCCCAGAGGCATCAAAAGAGGCGGGCTTAACAGCCTCCACCCTCTCCTGCACCAGCCATCTTCCCTTATCATCTCTGTAACCTCACCACTCTCTCAAACTGCCTCCTTCACTTATTCACTTTCTAGTCTCTTTGGAACATCACGCCGTCTGGCAGGAAATCTGTTTGTCTCCATCCCCTTGGCTCCAAAGACAATATCTCAGTCTGTAACCATCATTCAGGTTGGATGTGTCACAGGAGCACATCCCAGCCCTTGTTCATTCTGTGTCCTTAATCTTCATTCCGAAGGCAACTTCTGCACTCTGCTGTGTCTGGTCCTGGCACTTGGATGGATTCTTACCTCATTTACAGTGCTGACACTTAGCAACCTTCCAGAGCCCTTGCACACCCAAAAAGGCTTTGTTGTCACATAAAGGTTAAATTGGAGATGAAACTAAACAAAACATGATTTCTCTGAAAACTCTGGACTTGCCCCACCGTCTTCGGCGTTTGCTGCCATGATGGTCTAGGGCCACATGAACTCTCAGACCGGAAGCTTCTCTGTGCATTTGAATCACTGAATTAACTTCCGGGTTTGAGTGCCCCGGCATAAATGACACATCTTCCCTGCAGTTACTCTCTGGACCAAGCCTCTCTATGCTCAGCCTGGGAGTTTTCAAACCCTGTGTCTTTGATTGGCACTTCCTCCCACTGCGCTCTCTTCCTCACCCTAGCCGGTGCCTCCAAACCGCTTCCTCTCTCCAGCCTCCATAACCTACAGCCTTCACCCTCTGCCTTGGGGCTTAGCAAGTCTAGATTGCCTCCCCTTCAGCAGCTCTGCTCTCCCTCGCTGCCTAATGGAGAGCCAAGCTCTGTGGGCAGTGTGCATGTGGGCAGCCTCCCCTTCTACCAGCGATGGCCTTTCTCTGTCCTTCTTGTCACCCTTAGCAAACCTAATAATTACATATCTCCTTATCACTCGAGGAAAGCATGAACTGCCAATCCTGAGATCATTGATGATTTCTTCCTAAAAATAACATTTTCAAAAATTGCATTTTCAGCTGCAATCAGTGTGTGGATCAGACCATGTTCATTGGTTCAGTGTTTCTATTCAACTGTCTCCAAAAGACCTTTGTGGGTGAGAGCATGCTGCATGGGGTCACTCTCTTTGCTGTTCCCAGACCCCCTGGTCCTCTAAAATATCCCTGGGGAGCTAAAGCTAAAAGCAAAGCCAGCTCTCTCCAGGCCAGTGCAATGGCCAAGGTCAGACACTTGCTTTTGTGTGACCGTCCTTTCGAGAGAGCCAGTTTTTTCTGACATCTGAGGGAAAATGGATTCCTGTGAGTGGGGAGCTCGGGGGATCGTTCTTTCACCCGAAGTTCTACCTGGGAGGCAAAGCCAGGCCCATCTGGGCTCTGCCAGCAGTGGTGTACTCTGGGAGTACCACACCTCTCGGCATGCAGCGTCGCCTGCCTAAGCTTTTCTCTCTCTCTGTGTTGCAAACAGGCTGGGAGACCGAGTCCAGACTCACAACCACGCCCACAGAAGGGCTCAGTGACTTCCTTCAACTTTGACTAGAGCCAAGGCTTCTTCCACCTCTGGCCTACCGAGCCACTAACAATGAAAATGTCCCCAATTGTGCTCCTGGCTCCCTCATTGGTGCTGAGGATAATGGGAGTCCTGGTCAAGGCTAGCAATTGTTGATACTGTTCCTGGGCGGTTTTGTGTTGCTTTGGGGCCATTTTCGGTACGTCCACGTGTATTTTAAGTACAAGTTTGAAGAAAGATCACCCGGGGCTCAATGTTTTCAGGTCCCAGCCATCCTCACTCTTTGAATTCCCATAACCAAATCCGAGACCCTGATACCTCATGGGTTCTTGTAAGCAAGGTAAATAGAGTAAGTTTTCACTAAAATATTTGGGACCAGAGCTGACCTGGAACCAAGGCTATGATTCCCTTGCAATGTCTGTGTGGCTCCAGGGCCCACGTGCTTTGAGCTTAAGCCCTAGTGTGGGCGTGTTGGCAATAGTGTGTGCTTTAAGAGGTAGGCCCAGTGGCAAATAATTAGATTGTGGGGAGTTGCCCTTGGGAGGAATTGGTAAAGTTCTCATGAGACCCTGACTTGTTTTCAAGAGAGGTTGCTGTGAAAAAGCAGGTCTGGCCTTCCTTCCTCCCTCCGGCTTCTTGTCTCACCAAGTGACTCTCACGCAGTATTATGATGTCATCCACCGTAAAGTCTCACCAGAACTGAGTAATCAATGCTGATGAAGAGCCACACCCCTTGAGCCTCCTGAACGGTGAGGCTAAATGACCCTTTTTGTTTGCTTGTTGTTGGATTTTGGTTTGGGTTTGTTTGTTTGGTTGGTTGGTTGGTTGGTTTGGTTTGGTTTGGTTTGTTTTTTTGAGACAGGTTTTGTGTGTGTGTGTGTGTGTGTGTGGCCTTGGCTATCCTAGAGCTAACTCTGTAGACCAGGCTGGCCTCAGACTCACAGAGATCCTCCTGCCTCTGCCTCCCAAGTGCTAGGATTAAAGGTGTGTGCCACCACTGCCTAGCCAACCCTCTTTTCTTTATAAAGGACCAAGCCTTGGATATTTTGTTACAGCAATAGAAAACTGACTGGCATGGGAAGCTTAGGGTCTTCCTTCAGATCTCCCTGAAGATAAAGGCTGATGAGAACTCAGCATGGAGAGTCACTCATGCTGGTAAACTTGGGGCTATAGGATAGGAAGGCTGAGTTCAACAGACAAGCCCAGGGCTTCTCAGAATGTTCCCTCCATGCATGAGCTTTCAATTCCACATGAATTCCTCAGCCCCATTCTTAGGTAAACAGCTGCCCTTGCCTCTAAGAACCAGTAGTTATACCTGTAAGCATTGCAGCTTGGATGGAAAGGTATCCTGGCAGTCAGGAACCAAAGAATACCACAAAGTCACTGTAAGCTTAGAGCCCTGCTCCAGGAAAGGTTTCCCCAATGCCAGTGTAACAACTCGGCTCCAGCAGGGGAGGGTTTCCCCAGAGAAGTTGCTACAGTTCTGCTCCCCTCTGCTCTGCTCTGGCTCCCAAAAGTTGTTACAGCTGGGCTCTACTCCAGCAAAAATGTCACACAATACAACAAACCTCACTCAAGAAATGTATTGGGGGCCAGGTGGTGGTGGTGCAGGCCTTTAATCCCAGCACTCTGTGAGTTCAAGGCCATCCTGGTCTACAGAGCGAGATCCAGGACAGGAACCAAAGCTATACAGAGAAACCGTGGAGAGAGAGAGAGAGAGAGAGAGAGAGAGAGAGAGAGAGAGAGAGAGAGAGAGACAGACAGAGAGACAGAGAGACAGAGAGACAGAGAGACAGAGAGAGACAGAGAGAGAAAATTTATTGAGAAGGAAGAATACAGGAGGGTGGCTGCCTTGGGTAAGAAACAGCAGCAAACTGAACAGGGTACAAAGCTTATACGGGATTCTTGGGGGAGGGAGGGTACAGCTTTCCAGGGTGGCTTGGGATTGGTGGGTTTTTGTAACCTGATTCTGGAGCAAGCTCGGAGATTGGTAGGATTTCGTGCTCAGGGACCTCAGGGATTGATGGGATTCTGTGCATGTGCCCACAGGACTGGACATCTGACTCCATAGATACTTGCTCAGCCACATTCATTGATGTCCTTATTCACACTAAGTAGGAAGTGGAAATAACCTAAATGTCCTTCAGTTGATGGACGGATAGTGAAAATGTGGTACAAAGACACCATGTAAAGAAAAAAAAAATGAAATTTCCAGGCAAATGGATGGAACTGAAAGGATTGTATTGAGTGATGTAAGCCAGTCTCAGAAAGAGAAACATTGAATGTTCTTTCTCATCTGTAGTTCCTAGCACTAACCCTTCAGATGTGAGTATAAACCTGGAGTAACTCAGAATCCAGGAAAATATGAAGGGACCGTGGTGGAGGAAAAGCAACAGAGAGGGGAATAGCGGGGGAAAGGACTCTGAAGGGGGAATGGGAAAAACAGGGAGGTGGTTAACTGGAAAGAGGGGGGAGGTCAACACAGAAAGAGAGGGAGGGATGAGGGTAAAAAGTCAAAAAGGATCATAGCATTTTCTATTTATCTAAAATTACATTTAATACATGTAAGTCTGTGTGTGTGTGTGTGTGTGTGTGTGTGTGTGTGTGTGTGTGTGTTTTAATCAAATGTTCCCATCTGAGCTGGCAGCTCTCCCCAAGAACCATAGACTGACAAAAACCCCAGTACCAGGCATGAAAAGCCCCCTCATGAGTTGATGTTCAGAAGAATGTAAGAGAATCCCAAAACCTTATAGACTATTGCTGTTGTTTTCAGCTCCGCCTCCCCCTCAGAGGTTGAAGGTAAGTCCCTATCGCTTAAGGCACCATGTACTTCAGAGACAGAACCTGATGATGAAGCATGACCAAGCATGACCTTACCAGAAAGTATGCTATGCTAGCCTCCAAGAGAAGGAAGCAACCTGCCCAGCTATGATGCCTGTGCACCAGTGATGACCAGCAGCGGCATGACCCTATGGGTGCAGCAGTGGCGCTCCTATCTGGGCAGTAACCAACAGCTCTCTAACTGGACTTAAGGCCCACTCAATAAGATGAAAATCATGTCTGGTACAGGAATCCTAGCCAACTAGTGGGGGCTTATGAGGTCATGAATCTTGCAGAAGAGCCTACAACCACCACACTTTACTAAACAAAACTAATCCCTAACTACATTCTAAATATTTATCCTTATTCCCACAAGTAAGTATAACTCTCACCCTTCAACTTCTCTTTGCGATAGACGGAGACTGTTACAGAAAGCCACCGCCAATCAAAATTCAGAGAACAGTAATAGTGTGGTACCCAGCCCCAGCTGGTCCATCTACAACTCAACTCCTGCAGCTAAGGCTCGGAACATCTCAGAAGAAAAAAGCAGAAAGACTGTAAGAGCCAGAGAAACAGGAAGTCTGCTGTGAGACTATCTCCTAGAAATGTTAGAAGCTATACCCATGATCTCTCACCAACATGGCTACCTAAACAAGACCTGAACAAGGATGACAGCAATGGACAAGCTGACGTGGAAGGGGAAATCCAATGGGGCCTTGACCCGAGACAAGAACTACAGGCAACTAAGGAATATGGGAGCAAGAAAAATAGTCTTCCCTGGGGATGAGCCCCAGACTGGTTCAGTTTTGAAATCATATACAACTAACATTATATAGATAGAGCAGATTGTGTTTAAATGTCTGTCTGTCTGTCTGTCTCCCCCGTGTGTGTGTGTGTGTGTGTGTGTGTGTGTGTGTGTGTGTGTGTGTGTGTGACAAAGAAGAAGAGGCCAGAGGCCATGACTTTGAATTTGAAGGAGATCAAGGTGGATACACAGGAAGGTTCGGAGGGAAGAAAGGGAAATGGGGGAAGGGATGATTACATTTTAATTTCAAAAAATAAAAAGAATGGTCCTATTCAGACTTGTTTTGTGAGGCAAGGTCTCACAAAGCCCAAGTAGCCTAGGACTTGCTATGACCCTGACGACGAACTTGAACTTCTGCCTAGCCTCCCAAATGGTGCGACTACAGGTATGCACCACCACACACAGGTAAAATAATTCCTTGTTGGGACATTCCCAGCTGTACCTAGCTGCTCTCCAGCACATTCCACGTGAGCACTGAAGAGAGGTTAAATGCCATGCCTGTACCACAGAAAGCGATCTCTAGGAACTCTGAAACCCTGACTCCCGGACACTTCACTAGCAGAGGCTGAAACCTCTTGGCAGGTGACGCTGTGGCAGATGAGGAGAGAAGAGGAACTCAGCAAACACCTCCCACCCCCCACCCCTCACCCCCATCACAGTGTGCCTAGTGACACAGAGCTGCACCAGAAAAACATAAACACACTGCAGTGTCAATACCACAGTCACTCCAAGGCAGAGGCCACACTCAGGTCAGAGGAACGGAAAATAAAAAGTCACTGCCTCTTAAATGTCCTACCACAATGATGAAGTTTGATTTTTCTTGAAGACAGAACTGTGATACTGCTACGGTCCATCTAGCCATGACAGCTACCGTGTGACTACTGAGCTGGTACCCACACCCTGTGGAGAGGCTGAGTAAAGGAATGATGACGCAGGTCTGCATGGGACAGAGGGGGACACCACAGGACTATAGATGTAACTAACCGTCTTATTAAATAAGAAACACAGAAACAATGTAAAGGAGAAAGCCGAGAAGTCAGAGCTCAGAGCTAAAATCTCACCCTTCCTCCTGCTATCCCAGCTTCGCAAAAGAGACCTACTTCCTGTCTGTTCGTTTTTTTATAGTATGTTGTTCTGCCTTCTCATTGGTTGTAAACCCAAACACATGACTGCCTCGTCACTGTCTGAATGTACAGCCCCCTAGGTCTTAAAGGCATATGTCTCCAATGCTGGCTATATCCCTGAACACACAGAGATCTAATGGGATTAAAGGCGTGTGCCACCACCGCCACACTCTTGCTATGGCTCTAATAGCTCTGACCCCCGGACAACTTTATTTATTAACATACAATCAAAATAATATTTCAGTACAATTAGATTACCACCACAACAGGACTTCATCACAATACCCAGGAAGATGTGCAACTCATAGACGATTGGTTTCTGGAACTTTCCTTACCTTTTCATCAAACAAAGGTTGGCCTTAAATGACTTAAAACCATAAAAAGTGGATTCTCAGATACGAGGGCAACTGTAATGTTAATACCAGGGACATCGTGTGTTTCCCTTTGGGCAGCCCCTGGACCTTAGACACGCCGTGCTTCTGAGGGTGACTGGAGGAGTGAGTGGTATGCAAACTCTCCACCCATGTGACCCTGTCCTCATAAACATGGCCTGAGGAAGGAGTTCGAATGTTTTTGTGAGAAGGAGGGGAAGAGCAGCAAGCAAGGCTTTGGAAGTGCAGGTGGTATTGAAGTTATCACTCACTGTCGGTCCCCAGAGTCACAGAAATCCCCAGGGGACCACTCTTTCCCTTAAGAGACATGCATGGGACAAAGTCAGCTTGAAACTGACCCTTCTGACTCTAAACTCAGCCCTGGAAGAGGCAGAACAGTGTGCTACTCAAAACTCCTCTCTGCTTACTTACAGAAAGAACTTCCAGGTAGACCCATGGTTGCTAACATCATAGTGTTGGGGGGGGGGGTGTCCTGAAAAACAAAGGGGTGGGTGGGTGGCCCTGCCGGGACACGCAGGTAGCCATGCCAGCTGGGTGTGAGAGAAGGAGTATGAGACTCCTCAAGCTGCCCATCCACACACCGGAGAGGGACTTTGCTGCCCATAGAT